GTGGGGGGGGGGGGGGGGTGTATCATCAAACAGCCTCTCTGTAAAAGCTATGATGAGAGCTGAATTCACTGCATCCTGTGGCTCTGTTCACCCCCATCAAAAGGAGATTTGGATCCATCATTTATTCAAGAAATGTCTTGAGTACTTCCTGATTTTACACTCTAGGTAGAGGATGGAAAGGAAATACCTGAACAGGTAAAATAAGGACTGGTTACAATGTCAATTAATAGATAATTAATCAGGTGTGATGACACAAGCTTGTAGTCTTAGCTACTAAGGAGGCTGAGGCAGGACAATTGCTTGAGTCCAAGAGTTCAAGACCATCCTTGGTAACATAGTGACACATCTGGCTAAAATTAAAGGAAAAATACTAGAATCACACCCTGTAATTGGGTAATCAGAAATGCCTTTCTCACGAGGTCATATTTAAACTGAAACCTACAAGGATAAGAAGGAGCAAGCTAAGCAAAATGCCCAGGAAAAGCTTTGCAAACTGAAGAAACAATATGTAAAGACCTTGCCATGGAAAGGAGGTTGAAGTGTTCCTAGGAACACAGAGCAGCTACAGAGCTCGTGATTGCCCAGGGAGAGGTGCAAGCGCTGAGGCATTGAGCCAGAGACAGATCAAGGACACCTGCAGGGAGGAGATGCTCTATTCTGTGTCATTCTTCGGCTTTTTTAATTTATAGAAGGGGCATCCTCACCTACTCTCTCCTCGTGGGCCAGGTCTCAGCAACCTCCCCCCTCACTCCTCTTGTAATCTTCACGCTATCACGAATTTCCTAACATGCCTGGTTCTGTGGTAGCAGTGACCCCAGCAGGAAGAACAGAGGTTAAAATGAAAGCACATTTCTTCTTTCCTTGTTTGAACTTTGGGGAATTTTCAAAGCCTTAATAAATTAATAACATCTCCTGGTCCCTGGACATCCAGAGTTTATGTAGGTTTTTTTGTTTTGTTTTGTTTTCTTATCAGCCTCCTTCTGGAGATGTTTACATGATCCTCAGGGTAGGAAAGCAGGCCAGTGGAACGCAGTTGGAATGGGCCCACTGTTGAGGGAAACAGAACCCATCTGCTGCCAGGGCTGCCTCTGCCCCTGTGACACAGTTGGTGGTGAGGATGGGGCAGGTGGCCCCTGGAGAAGTGGCAGGATGACTCTTCCTTCTCACAGGCTTCAGATTCTCATCCCAGGCTGAGATGTCTTCCTCTGAGGGATAAGGTGTGAGATGGGGCTGAGCAGAGTGTGGTAGTCAGAACAGCAAAGCTACCTGCTGTGGGTCCTGAGAGCTGCACCACTCTTCACCCAAGGCCTTACCAGAAATTAGATGCCAGATTTGCCAACAGCTCCAGCAGGACCCTAAGAGCCTGTGGCCACCCAAGCCTGAGGCAAGGCAGGACTGCCCTGAGTCCCTCCCTTTGGAATTCCTGAGCCTCGCAGGTTAAGTCCTCCGCATTCCTGAGCTTCTTCCGCGAGGCTGAGGGAGGCTCCTGGCGGAAGACACACCTTCCAAGTTCTCCCAGGAGGATGGACTAACACCTCCACAACAGCCATGAGCAAATTGTTTCTGCAGCTGATCCAGAAAAGGACACCTGCTTCCTCTACATTCCCTGCCAGAAAATCCCACAGGTCTTGTGTGTGTGTGTGTGTGTGTGTGTGTGTGTGTGTGTGTGTGTGAGTGCCTGCATACTATTCCCGTCTTCCTAAGTTTACAAGCCCTGAAAGGAGAAGGAGGCCCTTTTGCTGAAGAAGTGCATCTCCACTTCTCGTCTCCCTCCTGATGCCAATGGCATGAGTGCAGTACGGCCTGAGCAGACCCACACAGTGCCAGCCCTGACCTCCAGCCCTGCCAGCCCAGGTGCACCTCAGAAGTGCCCAGCCATTTGCAGAAAGCCCCCCAGGTGAGGTTGGGCCTTAGGAGTATGAGGATTTGAAGTACTTGTTCTATAAGTCATTCACCAAACCCGCAGGCCTGGGCAGCTGTGATTGGGCATGGACCTTCTTCCAGCCCTGAAACTCAAACAGTCTCCCCTGGAAATAGTGCAGTTCCACTTGTGACGCTCGGGCCACAGGTCCACAGTCCCCAAGGTGGCTAGGAACCTGCTGCAGAGCCTATCGCCATAGTTAAATCTCATCCCAAAGCCTTTGCCTGCTGTGGCCAGGAGCTGAAGCACAGCCTGTGCCGTGGGTGGTGCTTATACACAGCAAGCCAGCTGGGCCTTGCTGCAGCAGCACAGTGGCCTCACCGGATTTGCCTTCTTCCCTGCCTCTTGGCCTCCTCGTCTCACCTTTCCTTGAGCATTCATTACTTTTCCAGCCACCTGTTTGTTTTTTTCCTGTTGTTTTCTGCAGATTTTACTTTAAAAAAAATTTTTATTAGTTCACATTTGTAGTGCATAATGTTTCCATTCCTTGCGGAGGAGTTGGTACATGTACATAATATATCTTGATTCCTTTTTTCCCCAGCCAACTACTTTTAATGGCTGTGGGAGTTCAGAGAAAACTCCACAGGGATTGCAAATCCCCAGTACATTTGGACATGCTGAGGCTGTGGGGGAGTGTCGTTCTCAGGAGATTGGAGACCTGTCTCCTTTGTGCCTCTAACTGTGTGACTTAAGGGTGGCTGTGATGTATCTTGGCTTTCCCATCAGTACAGTGGGCAATGAGCTCCCAGCTCAGACATCCAGGTGTGGTTCTGTCTGGCTGGGGTGTCTTTCTTACACAACCCTGTAAGGATGAAGCTCTGCAGGTGCTGGTTTATCTACAGACCCTCAGACCCATCTGCAGAGACATGGAGATGGTGCCTTTGGGTGCTGTTCTGTCCCAGACTTGACCCCAACTCCAGCTTCCCAGCAGCACAATTGCTCCTTTCCCCAGTCCCCTTAACACCCAACTATTTACACAGGAATCAATGTCCTTGTCTGTCTCTTACAACTGCCTCTTGATGGAGGAATTTATGCAAGCATCCACTTTTATAACATCATATTTTATATTTTATATTAAAGGTCTGTGTTCTACTA